GCAGTCATTTAATCCTTTTGAGGGTCATCTTTCTCATGCATGAAAGGGAGGAGATAGTGTTTAGGTCACTCTGTTAACATTAAGTGACCGTGGAAGTTCTTTGAAGAGAAGTTTGAGATCCACAGAAAACACCCTAGGCACGGCAGCATAACATCCAGTGTTTTTAAGACCCAAAGAATGAGGGTGGAGAAATGGACGGGGAGTCATCTGATTACATTTTCAAATTATACATGCTGTATTTTCACCTTTCAGCATACTCTCTCTTCCCCATTGTAATTGAGCCTATTAGAATTTTAAGAGAAGTAGGGAGTAAGACAGAATGAAATAGTTCATCCACATTTCCCATGCTTCACCCCCCCAACCATGTTAAGAACTGATCTAATCCAACCATCTCCTTCATTTGACAGGTAAAGAAATCTAAATATAACAGGATGAACCAATCATGTATCAACTAAGTACTTTATGTCTGTATTTGCTTTTAAATTGCAGGAATTCTCAGTATATGCCAGGCTGTCCTTATATGCCCCTTCCTTTTTTTGGATAGGTGCCCATGGTAAAATATGTTCCCAACTATAGTAAAGAGCATTCAATGAAAAACATAAATCCGTTCAAGTTAACTTTTGAATTCTTTTGGGTATTATGGTAATAACTTGAAATGTAGCTAGTCTAAACTGAGATGTGCTATAATTGTAAAATACACACTAGATTTAAAACACTCAGTATAAATGTAATGTAAAATATCTCAAGTTTTCTATTGATTATATGTTGAAATCATGCTGTTTTGGATATATTCTGTTAAGTAAAATATATTATTAAAATTAATTTTACCTGTTTCTATTTACTTTCTTAAAGGCAGTTGTTATGAAATATTATGCATGTGGCTCACATGTATTTGTATTGAACAGTGATGCTCTAATTAGTAAGCATATATTTCCCTTACTTATGAGATATCTGATCCTAGACTGATTTTCATTTCTTTGTAAAGGACTAGGAAGGGCTTTTTTTTCTGGGATTCTGAGGATTTTCCTGTTCTTGGTATTCTGAGATTTCATAAACATACACTGAATTACAAGTAAGTTTTGTTCATTTTACTTAAATGAGAAATTTAATACTTTTTGAATTATCTCGTACGTATTTCTGAATGAGAAAAGGTCTCGTATGACAGAAGACCTTGTATTGAGTCTCTATTTTTCTATAATTCACTCTTCTATTTTCTCTTTTCCATTCTGTTGTCTTTTTGGCAGTGGTCCAGGGAGATAACTTTTCATAATTTCTTGGCAGTATATTAAGAAATACAAGGAAATGGGCAATCACAGTTTTATTGTTCAAAGTATAAGTTGTGTCGACTTTTGCAACCCCATAGAATGCAGCATTACAGTCTTCCCTGTCCTTCACCATCACCCAGAGTTTGCTCATATTCCTGTCCATTGAGCCAGTGCTGCCATCCAGCCATATCATCCTCTGTATTCCCCTGTTCTCCTCCTGCCTTCAATCTCTCCCAGCATCAGGGTCTTTTCCAATGAGTCAGCTCTTCGCTTCAGGGGGACAAAGTATTGTAGCTTCAGTTTCAGTATCAGTCCTTCCAACGAATATTCAGGACTGATTTCCTTTAGGATTGACTGACTTAATTCCTTGCAGTCCCAAGGGACTCTCAAGAGCCTTCTCTAACACCACAGTTCGAAAGCATCAACTCTTTGGCACTCAGCCTTCTTTATGGTCCAACTCTCACATCCAAACATGACTATTGGAAAAACCATAGCTTTGACTAGACAGACCTTTGACAGCGAAGTAATGTCTCTTCTTTTTAATACACTGTCTAGGTTTGTCATAGCTTTTTTTCCAAGGAGCAAGCGTCTTTTGATTTCATGGCTGCAGTCACCATTCTCAGTGATTTTGGAGCCCAAGAAAATAAAGTCTGTCACTGTTTCCATTGTTTCCTCATCTATTTGCCATGAAGTGATGGGACTGGATGCCATGATCTTCAGTTTTTGAATGTTGAATTTTAACCCAGCCTTTTAACTTTCCTCTTTCACTTTCATCAAGAGACTGTAGTTCCTCTTTGCTTTCTGCCACAAGAGTGGTGTCATCTGCATATCTGAGGTTATTGATATTTCTCCCAGCAATCTTGATTCCAGCTTGTGCTTCATTCCCCCAACCATTTTGCATGATGTTCTGTTCTCTGCATATAAGTTAAATACTCAGGGTGAAAATACACAGCCTTGGTGGACTGTTTTCCACCAAGAGTCCACAATGAATCAATCCATTGTTCCATGTCCTGTTCTAACTGTTGCTTCTTGCGCCGCATACAGGTTTCTCAGGAAGCAGGTAAGGTGGTCTGGTATTCCCATTTCTTGAAGAATTTTCTTCAGGTTGTTGTGGTCCACACTGTCAAAGGCTTTAGCATAGTCAGTGAAGCAAAAGTAGATGTTTTTCTGAATTCTCTTGCTTTTTCAATGATCCAGTGGATGTTGGTAATTTGATCTCTGGTTCCTCTGCCTTTTCTAAATCCAGCTTATACATCTGGAAGTTCTTAGTTCATATACTGTTGAAGCCTAGCTTGAAGGATTTTGAGCATGACCTTGCTAACATGTGAAATGAATGCAGTTGTGTGGTAGTTTGAATATATTCTTTGGCATTGCCTTTTTTTTGGAATTGGAATGAAAACTGATCTTCTCCAGTCCTGTGGTCACTGCCGAGTTTTCCAAATTTGCTGGAATATCGAGTGCAGCACTTTAACAGCATCATCTTTTAGGCTTTGAAATAGTTCAGCTGGAATTCCGTTACCTCCACTAGCTTTGTTCGTAGTGATGCTACTAAGGCCCACTTGACTTCGCACTCCATGATGTCTGGCTCTAGGTGAGTAATCACACCATCGTGGTTATCAGGGTCATGAAGATCTTTTCTATATCGCTCTTCTGTGTATTCTTGCCACTTCTTCTTAATTTTTTCCAGCTTCTTTTAGGTTCATACTGTTTCTGTCCTTTATTGTGCCCATCTCTTCATGAAATGTTCCATTGGTATCTCTAATTTTCTTGAAGAGATGTCTATTCTTTCCCATTCGATTGTTTCCCTCTATTTCTTTGCACTGTTCACTTAGGAAAGCTTTCTTATCTCTTCTTGCTAGTTTTAATTGTCTACAACTCTTTCTTGTTCTCTATTTTTTTATCATAGAGGCATGTTCTGCCTTTATAACTGATATTTTCTTGAGTACATGTGAAGTTTCAAATTAGATTTGTCTTTAAATTTTATTTTTTTCTGACTTAGCTCCTTCTTTTGCAGTCAGTAGTTCATTTTATTATGGATAGACTTCTAGAAGGTGAAACACATTTTAGATGAGCATGTGTAACCAAATGTGTAGAAGCAGAAATGCAAAAAGCTTCCTTTGGGAGCAGTGATAATTCTGATCATTGTATTATTGTAAGCATAATGAAATAAGGGCCTGAACTGGCATGAAGAAAGTGAGAACTGAAAGAAAACAACTGAGTAATTATGCCAGAAAAATAAGTATAATTGGGAACTGATTTCTCCACTCTAAAAATTCCCACAGCATCCTCTTACTGAACTCATTGTATCTTTCCTTACAATATTATTGCTATGTCTTTCTTACAAAATTGTGACTCTTCAAGGCAGGGATTGTATCTTACTCATTCAGTTTTGTGTTGTTGTTTTTTTTTTTTAAGTATTTAGTGATCAATTACTATTCCAAATACTGGGATAACGCAATCATCAAAAACAGAAAATCCCAGCCCTCAAGAACACTTAATATATTTCCTTTTATCTTTCTTGGTGCTTAGTATTTCACAATGCTAGGAATTCCCAAGGCTAAATTTATAATTTAGCCCACCTTTAAAAGGGCATCTGGTCCCATCACTTCATGGGAAATAGATGGGGAAACAATGAAAAGAGTGTCAGACTTTATTTTGGGGGGCTCAAAAATCACTGCAGATGGTGATTGCAGCCATGAAATTAAAAGACACTTACTCCTTGGAAGGAAAGTTATGACCAACCTAGATAGCATATTAAAAAGCAGAGACATTATTTTGCCAACAAAGGTCCATCTAGTCAAGGCTATGGTTTTTCTAGTGGTCATGTATGGATGTGAGAGTTGGACTGTGAAGAAAGCTGAGCACCCAAGAATTGATGCTTTTGAACTGTGGTGTTGGAGAAGACTCTTGTGAGTCCCTTGGACCGCAAGGAGATCCAACCAGTCCATCCTAAAGGAGGTCAGTCCTGGGTGTTCATTGTAAGGACTGATGCTGAGGCTGAAATTCCAATACTTGGCCACCTCATGTGAAGAGTTGATTCATTGGAAACGACCCTGATGCTGGGAGGGATTGGGGACAGGAGGAGAAGGGAACGACAGAGGATGAGATGGCTGGATGGCATCACCGACTCAATGGACATGAGTTTGAATAAACTCCGGGAGTCGGTGATGGACAGGGAGGCCTGGTGTGCTGCGATTCACGTGGTCGCAAAGAGTCGGACACGACTGAGCAACTGAACTGACTAACTGAACTGAACTAAAAGGTCATATTAAGATGGCCGATTTGAATTTGTTTAGGTGTGTTGCAAAATGTCTCCTGGTATTAAACTCATCTCTCTTTATACAAAAAGTGATTATGCTTTCAGATAAAACTAATATCCCCTCACTTTAGTTAGAGGTAATATATCATTTTGATGTAATGAAAAAGTATCATCCTGGGAAGCGTCCAGGGTTCTAGTTAGGCTTTACTGTTGAAAAGGTTTGCACATGAATAGGTCTGCAAATGAACCCTTTTTATCTGTAAGAGTTTCATATTCTCATATATAAAATAAAGGATCGGTATTTTTTAGTTTCAACACTTTGAGTCTGAAAGTGGGACAGAATTTTCATTTCTGTTCAAATAATGTTGTGGCTAAACCGTCTGAATGGGATTGGAAACAAAACTGAGAGCTAGCATTTCATGTATTTCACCCGAGTTTTAATCAGTGACTAAGCATTATTTTTTTCTGTTTTACAGACTTGGGTCTGGATCAGTATACAATAAAACGCTTTGATGGAAAGGTGAGTGAACTATGACACAACATGTATATCCTGTTGTTTATTAAAGTTCCTCTAAAGTTACTTGTGAGAAATTTCTGAATACCTGTTTATCTTATTGAAAAAGTTTGGTGCTTACATTGGGAGATCTGTAAGTGCCTTCAAATGGTTCTACAGAAAAAATCAAGCAGAAGGTTCTTCTGTGTTTTTGCATATAAAGTAATACTGTTGGGTTGTCTGCTGTGTATAATGAGGGCTAATTGAGTGTGTTTTGACATTTGAATTTTAATTTAGAAGCCATTATAAAGGTTAACAACTCCCCAGTGTTATATTTATAGTTCTTATAAAAACACCTATTTGATTTGACTTTCCTTAGACTTTGATAGTATATAGTCATAACCCAAACAAGAAAACTGCAGAAGTCCTTACTAGTAGTTTTAAAACAATTAGAAGAGCACCCCAATATGCATATAAATTTTGCATTATACTTACTTTCAATTTATTTTATGCCTGAATAAATCATATAATAAATCATTAAGTATAGAAAATGAAACTTTCAATTTTATTATCTCAGAACAGTCAGTTAAACATGTTTTTCCCTTTCAGGCTGAATTCTCCAAACAGAAAAAGAAAATATTACACAGAGTCAGAGAGAAAACTAAAAGCTCTATTTTACAGAGAAGGAAGAAGGCACAGCAGGAAGATCGAGCCAGGGATGGCTTTACAAAGCTTAGCAAGAAGGAAGTCAGAAGGAAAATCATGAAGTGGCTGGAAAAGGCAGGATTACAAACTAGGCTCTAGAGGGGTAGAAATCAGGGTTAATAGAAGCTGATGTTGCAGGAACGTGTCAATCCTGCATCCTTATGTAAAACCACATGTATTGGTAAGGTGAAGATGTAAGTGCTCAGATTCTTGCACAAGTGGAAAGAATGAGTGGCTGCTTTAAAAGTTGAGAGGTCTCAGCCAAGGCTTCCAGCCTAAAATTTACTTTTCCTATTCAGGTGGCACAATGCCTCCATCTGTGGATATCCTCTTTTTAAAATCACATGTTCTAAAAGAATGATCAAAAAGAAAGGGCATTTAGATGCTAGTAGACCCAGATTCAGAGTTCTAGGTTTGCTTTGGGCCAACCCCATCTTCTCTCTGATCCTTGGTGTCTCTACTATCCATATAAAGGGTTACTGCAGACACTGGTGTCAGGGTCTGATATCAGAGTCTCTGGAAGGTTAGGCCCCTGTCTTATCTATCTTTATGTCACTCAGAGTCCAGAGTATGCTTGGCACATAGGAGGCAACCAATAAAATGTTTGACTGACCTGGGAAATAAATCAACTATTCAATTGCATATTCCTTGGAGGTATGACTCAGATGTCACTAATATCTTACAACAAAATCAATTTTATAGATCACTTGTTGGTTTTTTTTTTATGGCTACTAAGGAATCCAGAGTAACATGAGAATTCAGTCCTTTTTTGTAAACCTGAAAACATGTAAAGAAGTTGGATATATGTGCAAATAGAACAGCAACTTTACATGTTAAAAGGGGAATTTCCATTCCTAGAGAATTCCCAAATATAGAACCTCTAATAGTAACTCATGTTTTATATGTGCCTTTACTTTTTTCCTGTTTTGGCCAGTACTTGTCAACTTGATGCTAGTAATTTGCAACTTTTGGATTGACTGATGAGCTCCACTTTTGTTTCAATTGATTTAAATTTATGACCTCTACATTTCTTACATTTGTGTTGTTTGCATTTTTTTTTTCAATTTCCACTCATCTTTATAAAATAGCAAGAGTAAAATGCAGTAAAAATATAAAGTATTTGAGTTTCCTGAGCCATACAGCAGATTCATGTTGAGGTTTGACAGAAAACAGCAAAATTCTGTAAAGCAATTATCCTTCAATAAAAGACAAATAAATTTTAAAAATAATTTAAAGTATTTGTGTACTCCTCTTGCTGTGTAGGCAGAAATGGCAGTGCTTCTGTGTTTGGAAGCCAGTCTTAACAGATTATAGTTGAGAATGTTTATGCACTGAAGCACAAAATCTGAAATCAGAGTAGGAAAGGCAAGATTTAAGGATATCAATGTTATAATGTTTGAAAATATGATTTATATGAAAGTCAGGTGTATAAAAGTTGACTTCATCCAGGGGAACAGATTCTGAAAGACAATGAAAGAATGGCATGCTTACATAAGGAGATATAAAATTGAGCCAGTGACCCTGAGCCAGCTAGCCTGTTCCCCAGAAAAAGTGCACAAATTCCCCTTTCATCCAGATAATGATATGCATGTTTAATTCCTTTGCTAGTTTCTTCATTTAAGTCCTGTATTCTATCAAATATATTGTTAAGGTTTTATTTTAAGGAGTGAAGGTTGTGCTTCCTAAATGGGATACTTAAATTTAGTTCATGTCTAGTTTATGTCTTTATGAATTATCTTTGTTTCATATGAAGTCTAACAAAGTAGTTTCTATACTGTACTTAAATCTTAAATAATGAAGAGTGCAAATTTCATTCAGTGCTTAATTAACTTAGTAGTTTTTTCAGGGATTTTTGCAGTGTATGAAGTTCTTCTCTCAATAATTATAAGAGTCAATGCTTCTTCAAGTGTTGATCTTAATTCTTTTCCTTTGGATCTTCGTGACTCTTGTTCTCCCAATCGGAAAATCTCAGTTGTCGAGTAGCAGTTTCCAGAATACATAACTCCTAAGATAATTTCCTGTTGAAAGAACAGATGTATGTGATAATTATAGTAAATTTCATGCATGATGGTTAGAAACTTAGTAGAAGTTACTACTAAGAAAACACTTGAGGAGTTTCCTTTCAAACTTTTGATTTTTTTTTCAAACTTATTTTTATTTTTAAACAGATAATTTTCTTTCTCCCTCTCTCCTTTTTTTTAACTTGAAAGATGAACTAGTTATACATTGCTTAGAGAAATATTTGTTCTTGTCCTCTTTATTTCTCCATTGTTTTAACATTCAGCACACCATTTAGTTAAGTCTGTCATTTGACCACTTAGAAACTGTCTTATTTTATTGCCTTCTTGTTGAATTGTACTTTCGTGTTTTTGGTCAATAAGAGCAAGAAGAAATGTAGAAACAGTATCATTTTCCTGGAGTGTTTTCTCATTTGTACTTGAATTTCATACAAACTCCAGCAAAGTAGAAAAGAATGGCCCAATGATATTGACAAATAATTGCAGTTATTCCTTACTTCTCATCTTTTCTTCTTTTTGACTAAAAAATTTTCAAGAAGTAAATGAAACATTGCTCTTTCAACTGGTAGTTGGTGAAATTGAGTTTGATTAAGCAGCTTTTGGATTTGGGGGGAAGATCTTTTCCAGAGCTCATCATGACCTTATGTTAAAGTATGCTGAGGATGCTTAGCATACCCTTCCTCTAAGGATGCTTAGCAATTTCCTTTGTAGAAAAGTCAGGCAATACATTATTATTGGAACTTGCAGCATTTATGCTTTTCGAAAGTATCTGCTAACACAGGCCTTGCATAAAGAAACTACAGTCAGTGGCCTTTTGTTTTAAGAATATATTTTGTAGGGACTTCCCTGGTGGCGCACTGGGTAAGAGTCCACCTGCCAGTTCAGGGGACTCGGGTCCCATCCCTGATCGGGAGGATCCCACATGCCCTGGAGCAGCGAGGCGGGTGCTGCGCAGTGAGACAAGCCACAACAAGAGGCAGGTGCACCACAACTAGAGAGCAGCCCCTGCTCACTGCAGCTAGAGAAAGCCTGCACAAAGCAACAAACACCCAGCACAGCCAAAAAAAAAAAAGAATAAAGAAATAATTTGTAAAAAGAATATATTTTGTAGGTAAATGATATTTTAAAAAAATATTCAGACTAGTTTAAAACCCTCAACACTTAAAGAGTTCAGATTTTCTATTTGAGGATATTTGAAAATCATTATAGAGTGTTGGCACTAGTATACAGATGGTAACACAAAATATGGTCTGGCTTTTCTTTCAGTGAAATATATCATAGATTTTTTAAAAAATGCATTCTTTCCCCACAGTGTCTATATATTCTTGTTATGATTTGTTAATGCCATTATTTCATGAATTATTTCTTTAATGAAAGCTGTACTTTTTCCTGAGTTTAACTTTTTATCATCCAATAATTGGTCTATAAGACAAAGCACCCTTCTAAATAGAGCCTTTATTTTACATAGTTGTCAAATATTTGTTCATGTAATTGCTGTCCTGAAACCCTTCATTTTCTTGTTCCTCTTACTTCTCCTTTTTTCCTTAGCATAACACAAGTTAGAAATTATGTTTTATATTTTCTGTTCTCACTGTCTGTAATAGACAATTTTCTTTATCTCAAACCCTACCATGAGTTTTTTTTTTGTTTTTTTTTTTCCAAGTTACAGTAGAAAACTGCATTGTCTAAGTAAAATTATTTCTTCAAAGAATACCAGTATTCCAGAGAGTTGAAGTAGTCAAAGTTCATGCTCTCTTTGAAGTAGTTAATGCTCTATTTTAAGTAATGATGAATTGCCCATTGAAACTAGTCATCCATCATTATCATTCCAAAATATATTTCTTTTTTAGAAAATAGATTTTTTTTACTCTTTCTTTTCTATCAAGTTTCCTTTTCCCCTAACCTCTCCCTGAACTTTTCAAAAATCATGCCTCTGGAATGAGTCTTTTCATTATTTGTAATTACAGTCCCCTTAGAATCTCTCCTAATTTGGAGCAAGAATTAACATGTGTTTTATTTCCACCTCCTTTATGATGCTGACAAAAATATTTGTTTACATGGAAAAAACATTTTAAGTCAAATTGAAACATTGTCCACATTGAGGTGAAAGAGAGGAAAGTACTGTCAAAGTCTAGAAAAGAAAATACCGGTTACAGTGTTTATAATAAAAAAGATGATATGCAAGGAAAAAAAAGATAGGACTGTAGTTAAAAGTCAAAGCTTTAATATAATCAAATGCTTTTAATTACTTACATAGGTAAAAGTTCTTTTTAAAAATATTGGTAAAGTTTAAAACTCCATTCCTTTTAGGGAAAAGTCTTGTTTCCCCAAGTGGAGCATGGGCACATTTTTTTTTTTCTGTACTGTAATGGTCTGAATGCTTTGAGTTGTGATTATTCATATCACAGATAAAATATGAGTCTGCCAATAAGGTCAAGTATAGTATTACTCCTTGATGCATATAGTAAGTTATGTAAGAGATTTCCTATCTTTTAAGAGTAAATTGTATTGCAGATCAAAGATGATAGTTAGAAAGGGGACTGAAATTCTCATGGTATAGAATTTGGTGGTCCCCTGGAGAAGGAAATGGCAAACCACTTCAGTATTGTCTTGAGAACCCTGTGAACAGTATGAAAAGGCAAAAAGATAGGACACTGAAAGATGAACTTCCCAGGTCAGTAGGTGCCCAATATGCTACTGAAGATCAGTGGAGAAATAACTCCAGAAAGAATGAAGAGATGGAGCCAAAGCAAAAACAACACCCAGTTGTGGATGTGACTGGTGATGGAAGTAAACTACAATGCTGTGAAGATCAGTGTTGCATAGGAACCTGCAATGTTAGGTCCATGAATGAAGGCAAATTGGAAATGGTCAAACAGGAGATAGCAAGAGTAAACATCGATATTTTAGGAATCAGTGAAGTAAAATGGACTGGAATGGGTGAATTTAACTCAGATGGCCATTATATCTACTACCGTGAGCCAGAATCCCTTAGAAGAAATGGAGTAGCCATCATAGTCAATAAAAGAGTCTAAAATGCAGTTCTTGGATGCAGTC